ACGCACAGTATGCACATATGCTAATAACAGACTGATCAATTGCAGTCTTAAACCTTAATGGGAAGATACAAGCGAAACAATACCAAATGAGTTTAAACATTAAGTTATTGATATAATTAAAACAAAATTACAGACTATTTTTATTGCTTAAATTTCGTTTGTTTTTTTTTTAGTTTTTCTTTTTAACGACAAATATAAATGAACCTGATTTCATCATTATGATGCGATAATATCTTGTTCAGAATATTGTTTATGTCTAAACTATTCAATAGATTCGAAAAGTTTCTAATTTGCTGATAATCAACAATAGATTTACGTCTGTTCTTAGAAGTGTAATTATTTGGGTTAAAGTGTCTATGAGAAATGATCACCTTTCTTTTTTGGCTTAAATTTTAAACTACATTAACATATGAATGTTATGAATATGATATACATAAATGAGAGAAATATGTCTTAAATCGAGTCACACTAACTATAACTTGGGAATATGAGGACCCAACACTATTTCAATGAGGGAGGATAAAGTCACAAAATTTGAAGATGGATCTCAATTTGGAGTCGTCTCAACAAGAAAAAAGAAGGGAGGTGATATGATGGGAAGAAAGGTCAAAATTAGATAGATTTACTCATTATGAGTTTTGTTCAAGATTACTTACGTTTTGATTCAATATGGTGATTATTCAGTGTAGTATTCGGTTTTGTTTCCTCGTATGATATTTTATTCTGTATAATATACGATATTCTTGTAGTCACTTGACATGAACTATGTTCAGTAAGTGATTTGTTATAACTGAGTATATTTTCTTTATATGATTATTCATCAAAGTGCATTTTCCATTAGGGTCATCGTCGTCGTTGTGTTTTGGAAGTTAGTAACTCTTCACTGACACTATTCTTTGTGTTCTAAATTTCGCGTCGTGGGAATTGCAGAGATCTCTCGTTCCGAGTATAAGTGGTAAGCGTTTCCGACACAACAATCAGTGACGACCAGATATAACAAGTAGAGTTCAATCCATAAGGCATATATGTGGCGACGGGGATTTCGGAAAAAATTGACTTTCCTATCCATCATATCACTTGTCTTCAATTTTTTACAGTCTTAGATTTGAATTGCTATGGAGTTGAAATTAATCATGAAATAGATATTTTATGCCACACTCGTTTTCGAAAGCTGTCTAGTTAAAGTTGATTCATATCGTAAACTGTAAAGTGAATTTAAGCAGAGATAAAATTGATAGATAGCAATGAAATCTAGAATGTAATTTTATTCCTGTTCAAGACTCATCAGTTAGGTATACCTATATTTAAGAGTTAATCCTTAGTACTTTTTGATTCAAATTCTAAAATGTTGTTCGCTTAACTACCGATCACCTTGTTGGGGACGTTAGATCCCCTAGAACTCACTTGAAAAAGGTCCTAATTTTGTAATTTTATTTAGAAAATTTGAATTTCTTTGTTTTCGCGCCAAAGGCGCTCTTGTCACTTCATGTCGTATTTCCCACTGGGAATATCTCAAATGCTATTGGCCGTTGCGTCTTTTAGTATGCCATTTGGTAATTCTCCCCAAGGACGGTTTTGCACTGTATATATACGTTTTGAATTGTGTTTGTTACTAGCGCTCATTTCTGGCTGTTTTGCAGAATATACTTCCCATTTTAAGCTTGGACTTTTCCCTCTAGTTAGCGGGCTGGGACGCATCAATAGCTAGCTACTGATCTTTGGTCACAGAGTCTTGTTCTCGTTCGCCGATTGAGTGACTCGTGATAGCTTCAAGCCTAGCACACCTGTAGTCCTAAAATATCCTATTCAGGCTTCAATAATATTTAAATTACATTATGAAAAATACCTAAATGATTTTTTAATATACATTTCATTGTGTTATTATTTCCAAACCTTCCTAAACATAAACAATTCAGTGGAATATGGTTAACAAAACTACAAAGAAAAAAACACAACAGATTTAGTGGAATTGGAACAACAACCAAATGAAACTGATATATCAGATAGATTTAAAATTTATAAGACCCATCCTCAAACAGGAGATAATATACATATATACCACTGAGATTTGTATCAATGGTTTGTTTAAACATATGCAGTCACATTTTTTCAGTAGTCATTAAACAACAACATCAACAACAAAAAACAACGAATATTCAGTTTGTAAAACGAAATTATCAATGGTACCTGATCTACAGTAAAATATTATGACTATATGCGGCAGTTTCTTTCTAATTATATTCCTGATTAATAATGTGATAGTGTCTTTTCTAATTGGATTTGTTTCATGTTTGAGGTTTTTATTTATTTTATTCACATTACTTACTTACGCTTGTTACGGCTCGTCGAGGAGCACAGGCCA